ACAGTTTAAATTTCAAACAGTTATCCCATCCAATTGACACTTGATAATAATGCAAGTGTCAAACAACGTGTCAAAAATCAGTGAACAAATAGAAAAGTTCAATCGGTTAGAACCTTCCTACGTGTACACCATGGTGTATACTTTAGTTTACACTTTGCCACGTGACATTACCCTGCTGGACAGTTTAAATTTCAAAAGGTTTTCCCATCCAATTGACAATTGACATTACCCTGTTGGACAATTTTCATTTCAAATAGTTTTCCCATCTAATTGATACCTTACAATAATTCTAGTGTCAAACAACGTATCAATAGCAAAGTTAAATCGGTAAGAACCTTGCGACATGTACACTATGGTGTACACTTTAGTTTACACTTTGCCACATGACATTACCCTATTGGATAGTTTAAATTTAAAACAGTTTTTCTATCCAATTGACACTTGACAACAATACATGTGTCAAACAACATGTCAAGAATCAGTATACAAATAGCAAAGTTCAATTGGTAAGGACCTTGCTACATGTACACTATGGTGTGCACTTTGCCACGTGACATTACTCTATTGGAAAGTTTAAATTTCAAACCGTTTTCCCATCCAATTGACACTTGACTGCAATGCAAGTGTCAAACAACTTGTCCAAAATCAGTGTACAAATAGCAAAGGTCAATCGGTAAGAACCTTGCTACATATACACTATGGTGTACCCTTTAGTTTACACTTTGCCATGTGTCATTACCCTTGTAGTAGCCAAGAAAAAATAAAATGGAATTATGCTAATATTTTGTGATGATCTAGCACCATGAGCCTAACCTATTTTAGAAACGACCCATGGAAGCTCAACCCATGTAAGATTACGAAAGCCCAAGTCATAAGTTAATTAAAATTCCAGCTATTTAAGAGATTAAGTTTAAGTAAAATTGATTGCAAAGATTTAATGAATAACTGGGTTGCCCCAATGGTCATCCCAGATTCGAATCACCATGTAGATGTTTTTTTATAAAACTTTCATATGAATTATTTTTATGGCTTAGAGACTCTTCAAATTCTTATTTAAAGACTAAATTTAATAAATTTAATGATAATACAACTCCCCCACTTAATTTTTCATTAAAAAGAAAGGTTATAGAAGTGGAAGGTCACTTTTTCACTACACTCCTCTTCAAATCTGAATTTCATCTCATTTTCTGATGCGATCCCGATCAGCAAGGTTGGAATCGAACCCACAAGATCTTGAGTCGGATCCCAAGAACGCCAATATGACCAAGGTTTATAGATCCCCAAAATAGTGAACCAAGCAACCCAACAAGAACGTTACTTGAAAGACCTCTTGATCACACGATTGAAGAAATCACACCTGGATTGTGGATTTGAACCAATAAAAGATGAATAAAAAAACCCAATCGTAACGTTGACGCAAAAGACCCCTTGATTACACAATTCAATGATTCAATCCGATGTTTTGAATGCCACAAGATGACTAGTCTTGATAAGTTTGCCCCATTCAATTTAATGAACAAGATAAATTTGAAACAAAGCTCCGAAGAGGAAAATCTCTTATTAATTCATAATCAAACTTATTCTTATTTATACCAAAACCATAAAAACTAATAAAAAGGAAAATAGCAATTTTAAATAGCATAAAATATCACCTAAAATATGGGAAAAAGGAATAAAATTATTAAAGATATATTATTCTAAAAGGAAACAATAACTAACGGATCCCAATGCACCGGTTGAAAATAGAGTTTCACTCAAAATTGGTAACTTGTGCTTAAAAATCTGGGATGCTGCCTTGTTTCACTGCCTTGCGACCGCATAGTTGAAGGACATGCGGTCGCATAGTTACGTAGGTTCCGACCATTAAATTCCCTGGGATTGTGTTTGCTATCGCATAGGATTTATGAGTTACGGTTTTATAGCTTGCAGACAATCTGACCAGTTTTGAGTTCACGTGTTCTAGCTTGCCTTTGCTTCCTCTTCCATTGGCTAACACAGCTGATCCACCATATTTTGTCTCCCATTCCCAGCCTTGAAATGATTCCAATTTCAAGCCCTTTTAACTCTCTAATTTCATAGTAAAGTATGTGTAATTAAATTCACCAGCTTGAGCTTCCTTTTTCTAGCTTTATTAACTTCTTTTGGCCCCAAATTGAGCTCAAATATTGGTTTCGATCTCTCGCCAACATACATCATCATTCAAGGTGCAAGTCGGATCACATCATCCCCTCTCACTTCGAAAGGATTCGACCTCGAATCCAATTCCAAATTATAACCCTTACTCCCAATCAATGCAAGTACATGGAAGGGTCCACCGCCCCGAGGATGAAACTTGGACCTCTTTTGAACTCAAATTCTCTTCTTGTATATGTAAACCCAATCTCCTTCACAATGATCAAAGTGTGTAAGCCTCGATGATTTCTTTTTGCCATTTTGTGATGCTCCAAGATTAATTTTTGCTAATAAATCACCGTTCACTTCCTTTGCTTGATTCGGCCTAGGTAATTTTAAAAATGACACTTCAAATGGCTTCATCTTTCCCAGCATTTCACCTTGGCATTTCAAGTCAGTGCATATGAACTCCTTCCATGGCAACTTTTGTACCTCTTCGGGGATCACAAATTCAACTGATGGCAATAAAGGCATTTCCAAGCTAAGATGCAGTTGTTGATTAATTTCTCCCACAATTTGATATCCAATGCCCGGGTTTTATGGAATCCCAATTGGCTCGTCATCATGGACTGAATCTCCGATAACCTGCAGAAATGGAATGTCCAAAATAGGGAGGGAATTATTAGTTTCTGATAACGCCTCCTCAACTCCTCTTTCATTTTCATCCAAGCTCACTTCCATCACTTCATTTACCTCCGAAGGCCCTACTCCATTTTCCACTTCTAATTTAACCACTTCTTTATTCTCATTTTTACTCTCGATCTCCTTTTTATTTTCTTGTGGCTCATCTACTTTTTCCTCACAATCAACCACCTCACTAATTTTATTCTTACTCTTTTGCACCTTTGGATGATTAATTTGAGACCTAAGAATATCGAGAATCTCAGAGAATTCCTGTTTATAGTCCAACCCAACACTCTTGCTTGAGGTACTACTTGCACACTTCACAAAAGATGTCTTCTTCTCCATTGGATGTTCAAGCCTATAAGTTTTTCTAGACACTTCCCTAAATTTTTTCTCACGCCGATCACTCCCTTAATAATTTGGCACATATCTTCTTCTCATAATCGCCCTCAACTCATCCCAATTCTCAATCGGCCTCTCACCACACCGTCACCTAGATGTTTTCAACTCATCCCACCAAACTAAAGCATAATCCACGAATGAGCCAACTACTAACTTCAATTCTTTCTCCCCGAAATAATTATAGCGCTCAAACATCAACTCAACTTTTTCTTCCCACATTACATACGCCTCGGGATCTTTCCTACCTTTAAAAGATGGAATTGTCATCTTGTTACTCCTAACACCATATCCCAAATAATTTCTATCCCGTTCTCCAAACTTATCGCCTCTACTTTTCATTCCTCGTATGTCATCCTCAACCCATGCATCATCACTATCACTACAATATTCATATGTATCATATATTTTATTCCTAGGCTCCAATCTACTCCGTCTCCGCACATTAGACAACCTAACACATGGGTCTCCATGAAATTGAGCCAAATTTGAATCAATCCTATCCATTTTAATTATTGAATCATCCATATCCTCAATCATCTTCTCAAATCTTCTCATTACATCCCTTGACATGTTGAATTGATTCCGACTTGAACTTGACACTTTTTTTACACCTTTTTATTTTACTCTTTTTTTTTACTCAAAATTTTTTTAAAACCCGGATGAACAGTAATGGAATGAATAGTATTTTTTTAAAATTTTGACGTGAATAATATTTTTTTTACTCTTGGGATAGGAAAATCAAAGAAAAAACTGTAATACCCCAAACTTCACGTTCTACAGTTGGCCAATATGATTCATGCATTCCATGCTAATTACATTGTCATTTGTATCAATTTCCTGATTGCCTTCTCTTAAAACGATGCATTTGATCATCAAGGCTTTAAAATCTTTACATGGTGATAACCTTCGACTCTTCGATCTAGGTGGTGAATTTTATATTGAGCTATGATAGAAAGTTAGATTAACTAAATGTTGGAGATTGGCTTGGTAAGTAATGTAATATTTGAAAGGCCAAAAATTTGTATCAACGAAGGTTCAAGCTTTCCATTCGGCTAATCGAGGTCACCTTAAACCCTAGATAGGTAATTCACATATTTGGGACATGAGGGATGAAGTGACATTATCACAACGTAATAATATGTCTTATATGACATTATAAATATTGAGGTGCGAATTGTTGAAATCGGTTGAGAATCAGGTAAGAAATTAAATGAACGGTTGAGGAATTAGTTCTATGAAATACTTTGGGATCTTAGGACAAGCGAAATGGATTGCAAACATGTCAAAATAAGCCGAGGATACTTGGTTTGTGCCTGCAAAGATAGATATAAAGTCAGATGGATGTTTGTCATTTTAGCACTCAATTCCTTCAACCTTAAGCCTCCAACACGTCCTATAAGTCCTTAGAACTTTACACAAGATATTTATAACTCTTCTAAGTCACATATGGCTCCATGTGGTGCAAGGAGGAAGTCAAAGTTGGCTGCAAGAAGCCACCTCCTACTTGGACAGCTCATGCTAGGGGATTTTCACTTTAATATATAATTGCTTCAACCCTAAGGCATAAATTTCGTGTCTAATCCCCAAGGACTTAATATAGGATGAATATATATCTTAAATATCATAAATGGACACAAAAATAATGGTAGAAAAGTCAAGTATTGCAGCCAAGATGACAGCTCCTGCTTAGTGACTCACCTTGATTGCTTGAGGTGGCTGCAGCCCATGATATCCTTAATCCTTAAGTAATATGCACGACTTCAACTATTTAAAGACCACTCATTTACCTCCTAGATAATATATTAACTCCCTTAACTCGTCCCTATGTGATTCCAAGCGAAAAGAGGGTGAAACAATCAAAGAGAAATAGAAACAAGAAGCTGGAATTTCTGAACAACTTTGTTACTCCACAGTTTTGAGGTTTGTTTCTACTATTTCTTAAGGGGTTTATGATTTCTTAAACATCTGAACTTGTTTGTAATTAAGTTGGAGTGTTGTTAATGATGTTATGAAGCATAAATAGGGGTAATTAATTGCAAGAATTTGAAAGAAAGTAATCTGGACAGAGATGAGGAATTGCTGGATTGAGTGATTTATACCTTGATTTTGGGATGATACTTAGTGTTTAACTTATATATGTCAATATGAACGTTTTATATGTAAGTAGGGAGTGTAGAAATGATTTTAATGGCCTAGAATTCTGTTGGTGTCATAATAATAAAATGGAAACCGAAAACAGTCAAAGGGAAAAACTGCCTGATTTTGTGTAGTGGAAAATGGACTGTTTTTGAAGCTCCAAACACTTCATTTGTCACAATGTTATGATCTGATTATCTTCACATATATGTTATAGGTGTGTGGTAAAAGTTTGGGAACCATTAAATATAGGTAAGGATATGAAAAAGAATTTGAAAAATGAGTGGACGGTGATGGAAACTTAGAAAACAGATTCTGTCCATTTGGGTATTTAATGTGATTTCAACATTTAGATGTCCCCTAATGAACTCTTGGGCCTAGAAAATATATCCTAAGGAATACTAGGTTGTCGAAAACAATTGGATGACGTTGACGTTCACAATTGGACTCGAGAGATAGCGAGACTTATAGGATTAGTTTGTAATACCATCGGTAACTTGAAATAATGATTTTGTCTAAATTGTTTTGGCATGAATGGACGTATTTTAGGATTGTGTGTGTTAAGATTATTAAATAGAGGATTGTATTTAATATTAGATGATAATACAGGCGACTTTTCGACGTTGAGCGAAAAAGGGAATTGATACACACTCCATAGGAGCTTACACACATAAAGGCGAAAGGTAAGTGAAAATCCATTTGCAACTACGATGCAAGAACCTAGTATATGTGACATAGTAATGTTGAGATATCTACATAACTTTGATAAGAGGCTTATAGCACATCATATGGTGGTTACGATCATTGAGTATGAGATTGCGTAACCTATTGACATCGATTTTCATTTATGAGCATTTTCATAAGCATGCACGACATGTAACATGGTTGAAAAT